CTCAGAGAGCTGCATCATCAAGCCAGACAGTTAAGCCACCAATCAGTTTTCCTTGATGCCTTGCCTTCCCCAGGGCACATTAGAACCAGGATATGTTCTGCTCGTGTACCCTTCGTTCTCTTTCAAATTCTGTCCTCGGGTGTGATGTCACCTGAGATGGGCACCTCTGACCCTTCACCAGGGCGGTGACCCTTTCCTGACTCACCCCAACCTCTCTCCTAAAAGAGCCCTGACTCAGGGCTCCGCTGGTGCCATTTCTCCTGATGGCACCTAAGCTTTCTTCTAGGCTTGCTGAGTCTCCAGCAAGCTTAGGTCTTTCAGATATCCACTCTCCTATGCGTGGGTGATGGACCTCAAAGACAGCCTCTTTGCCCAACATGCCCATCTCTAGTCCAGTGCCTGGTACACGGTACCAGCTCGGTAACTCGGGATGAATGACCTTGCCATCTCTAGGGCTTTTTAGAGCCAGGCTTCAAAACAAATATTTCCCTTATATAACCAGCAAGAGAGTCAATAGCTCATCTTGTGAAAACACATTCATTTGGGGCTGGATGGTCGGCCCAGTGGTCCAGAATGTGTACTTCTCTTCCGGGGACTCGAGTTCAGTTACCAGCACCCACATTAGGCAGTTCACAGCAGTCTCAAACTCCAGTTGCAGGGGGATCCATCACCTCTGGCCGTCAGGGGCACACAAACACACTCAATTAAAATGTTAAAAACATTAATTACACTTGTTCATACCTGAGTGTATTGGTACGGATGTATGTGCATGCCACGGCACATGCGCAGTGGCCAGAGGACAACCATGGGAGTTGGTTCTCCCCTCCAATCACAGCTCCAGGGCTTGAACTCCGGCTGTCAGGCTTGGCAGCGCACGTCTTTATCCACTGAACCATTTCCCCAACCCCTAAATAGCTTATCTTTACTGTCACGGCTCTGTGATTTAGGGCCATGCTTTTTACTTTAGTCGGGTGCCAGCTGTTTCTGTGAAGTGTGACTGGGACACAGCCAGGCTTGCACATTTGAACAGTCTGTTTTTCACATCACAATCGCCGACTTGGCACAGGAGAAGCTGTGCAGACCCGGAGGTCTGAAATATTTATCATTTGACCCAGGGCAAAGTTAAGTAGGCCTGACATTGTGGTTTCTTTGATGCCTTGAGCTATACGCCGAGTTCATGAAGTAGTCAGGACAGGACAAAAAGGTCAAACGGCAGCTGGTTTCTTTTCTGTGTCAAGCAAGCGAATAGGCCAGGTTTCTGCACCCTAAATGGAGGCTCATATTTACCAACCCAAGACCTACTGGATGTACCGACTGCAAAGCTGGTGCTCCTTCAAGAGTAGCCGCAAAGGGCAAAGAAAAAGTGTTTTCTTAATGCTGCACTGTTGTTAGCAGTTGTTGATCTAAGCGTGGAAATCCTAACCACTTATTAATTAGAAGAAATTAAGTTTTTTGTTCCCCATTTTCCCCAATGTCCTCAATTTCAAGTTTACACAATGTGAAGCTAATTCTTGCACACTCCAGCTATGTACATAGTCCAAATAAGAAACCCTGTCTTGAAAAATCAAAAAAAAAAAGTATTGATTTTATGCTTATGGGTGTTTTGTCTGCATGCATGTCTGAGAATCACGTTTATGCCTTGTGTCCAGGGATGTTGTTGGATTTGGAGTTACTGGAGTTACAGAAGGTTGAGAGCCCCCATGTGGGGGCTGGGAATCGAACCTGGGTCCCTTGTAAGAGCAGTCAGTGCTTTTAACCAGTTCTAGTGATATTTCACTTTGTGTTGTAATAAAGCTTGCCTTACAGACCAGGCGGTGGTGACACACACCTTTAATCCCAGTAGCCACACCAGTTTGCTATACAAACCAGTGGTGAACGCCTTTAATCCCAGTCCTAGAGAGGAATATAAGATGGGAGGAGACAACTCTCAGTAAGTCTCATTCTGAGGATTCCTGGAGGTAGGATCACCATCACGGACTGAGGTAGAGGTAAGAGCCAGTGACTGGCTGTTTTGCTTTTCTGCCTTTCAGGTTGAACCCCAAGTTCTGTCTCAGGGTTTTTATTAGTCATGCTACATTGAGCTATCAGCCCCTTAAATATTTGCTAATTTTTAGTAATAATTCAAGTGATTTTTGTTGTTTTCAAGCAGTCTAGGCTGGCCTCAAACTCCAATCCTTCCCGCTGGGATTTTAGGAGGGTGCCACACACTTGCCTACTAGTGACTGATAATTCTGGAGTCTGAATACATCAGGAACAGGCTACCTCATCACATCTGGAAACACGAATGAAACTTAGACTGACCGCCAATAACTATTGCTTACCAAGTGCCAAGTCACAGAGCCAGGTATTCCCCTTGACAGGCATTCTACACCCTAATCCACAACGGAAAATTAATTCAGGGGCTCAGCCAACGAAAGCAGTATATCTCAGACACCGGAGCAAGGACCTGAAGTCAAATATACTTCTCCTCGGGGCAGTGCTCGCAACCGGGGTGTTGGAAACCGCACGCCGGTAACTAAGGAGTAGATGTAAGTTACTACACACAACACAAAATAACAGGGACAAGGCATGTATATTGTCTGGGTAAACACATATCCTCTCTCCTGAAACTCCCTTCGGTAACAGTAGAGGTAACAGTAGAGGTTTCTGTCCACTTTAAGGTTAAAATATCTCAAAGACAACAGTTACAAAAAGTTGTAAGCTGGAAAGCAAAAGCCAGCAGCATGAAAAGCAAAGCAAAGAAGTAAAAAATAATAAAAGAATCCTACAGCACAGCATAGAATTCCCAAGTCTCCAGAACTGGTAGTTTTGTGTGTCTCTACAAGTGGGAAGAGTGAAGAGATACCAAACTAAGAACTAGTAGGTGCTGGGCAGTGGTGGCACACTGCCTTTAATCCCAGAACTCAGGAGACACAGGTAGGCACATCTCTGGGAGTTCAAGGACAACCTGGTCTACAAGACCTAGTTCCAGACAGCTAGGTCTGTAACACAGAGTAACCCGTCTCAAAAAAACCAAACCAAACAAACAAACCAACCCAAAATAACAACAAAAACTAGTCAGTGAAGGTCTAAGTTATCAGATGTGGCTGGTCTGCAACTCTAGGGGCTAAGCTATCTCTCCAAGAGGGCCACCCCCCTGCCCTGGGCCTCATCCTAGCCCTCCTACATCCCTTGACTTCCTTCATTCTTGTGTAAGATGAAAAGATTGTTCTAAAGATAGGACACAGGCCTTCTTCTCAGTTAAAAGCCTCAAAAGATCTCTCTAGGGAGGAGCCTAAGGCCATCAAGCCCCACCGCTCTAACAAAGGTGAAGTGGCTAACCTGAAGATAAATAGACAAAAGTCATTTAGACAACAGACTATGAAGGACAACGAAAACACAAAAAGGGAAAGAAACCACCAATAAAAATACACACAATTGCTGGGGTGGGGTGGGGTGATGTGAGCATCTAATCCCAGTACTAAGGAGGTAGAGGCAGGCAGACTTCCTGAGTTTGAGGCCAGCCTGGTCTACATGGTGAGTTCCAGGACAGTCAGGACGATACAGAGACACTCTGTCTCAAAAAACAAACAATACACATACACACACACACACAAACCAAAACCAAAATAAGGCACAAAACTTAAGAGAACTAATGGACGATATGTTTCAAGGTTTACCACGGTGATCCAGTGCTCAGCACAGTGAGCTAAACACACACACCGGTGTCACTGTGGAGACCACCAGGACAACAGAGCCTTGTTTCTCGGGAAAGAAGAATTAGGCCTCGCAGAAGTCCAGGAGTCAGAATGGTTTCAGGTTTCTCAACAGACTCTAACCCACAGCCAAGGTCTCGGTGCCTTAAATTCCTGAAGTCCAAAGGTTCCAAGTCAAAACTCTACACAGATCAAAGAATCAAACATGTGACTAGAACAAACATTAGCAAACAAGAGACCCAGTGTGGGACCAGAAGAGGTGGTTTCCAAGCTACAGCCGTACACAGTCTAGAGCGGAGCAACGAAGGCTCCACTGGACTCCCTAGGGAAGATGAGATGTGGTGTCTACCCAGACAACATGGTGGAACAATTCTGGTACCTGGTAAAAAGTGAGCGAATTCAGTGGAGAGTTCACTGGAAAGCTAACCTTTTTTTTTTTAAAAAAAAAAAAAGGGGGGGGGGATATGTAGGAAAAGTAAACCATCGGTCTAACGAAAATCACACAGGAAGACAGGATGACAACCATGCATGATGGGTACGAAGAACGATAAAACCCAAATCCTGGCAACACATCGAGAAGCAAGCGGGCAATAACTAAAACAGGAACCATGACAGCACCATCACATTACTAAGAGACACACTGGTGGAGATGGAGAGATGGCTCAGTGGTTAAGAGTGTTGCTGGTCTTGCAAATGGCCCAGTATCCGCATGGCAGTTCATAACCACCTGTAACTCCAGTTCTAGGGAACCCAGTGTCCTCTTCCGGCCTCCATGGGTACCAGGTACTTGCATGGTACACAAACACACACACAGGCAGACACATATATAAAGTAATTTAAAAACAAAACCAAACCCATATACATTAGTTAAGTAGAGCTAGGCAATTGTGCACAATTTTAATCCTAGCACTGAGGAGGCAGAGGCAGGAGATCTCTGTGAGCTCAAGGCCAGCCCGGTCTACAGAGTTCCAGGACAACCAGGATTGCTATATAGAGAAACTTTGTCTTGGAAAACAATAAGTTAAAGAGGTGAGCATGAATGGTTGCTTAGGAGGATTGCCCCCTTTAGCTAACAAACTTAGAGAACTATTTGATTTTTCAAAAAGGCATTTCCCCACCTTTCACGGTGTTTGTATTTTCAGCATCAAGCACAGTTCATTAAGATTGTGGCAGAGAAGCACACTGCCACATAAAGTTCAAAAGAAACTCACTACGGGAGCAATAGTCACGACACTGCGGTAGTGACGGACATCATCAGCAAAAAGTGGGACCAAAACAAACAAACACAAAGCCAGAAACCCAAGCTGTTCCATCAGAATGTTTATTAAAAATATAGACTGCTGGTTCTGTGCTTAAGCGTCATTGTGGGTGTGTGCTGACTCCCAAACAGGCTCTCCACAAATACACTTGGAACAGAAGTTGTAAACAGAAATGACTGCCATTTCAGACCCAAGCCCCTCGGAGTCTGACATCTTGACAACCCCATCAGCACTCACAGAGGTGGACAGCATGGGCTTGAGGGCACACCACGACCACAAGACATCTTTTTGCACTTCCCAAATTACTTTTAAAATTCAGCTATGAAGGTCAGTTCCCAAGGCCCGATGTGTTCATAACAAGTAGAGTTTTTATGTCCATTTAATCAGTCTTACACCTTTCTGGGCCAATTCATCTGCAGACAGGAGGAGAAACTGTCACCAGGTTCTTCATGCCATGCATCCATGGGGCTCCCAGTCCTCATATGCTGTCCAACTTCTTTAAGATATACGGAGCTGAAAGAAAAACCCCAAATTAGGTTTTATTCTATGAGTCCACAGGCTACAGTACAGAATTATAAAACTGGAGTGTAAAAGAAAAAGCTTTATGAAATATGGTTTTGGAAACAACTCTCAAACGGTGATCAAGCCTCTACCAGGATCACACTCCCAAGGGAGTCACTGCCTTGCAAAGCAGCCATCCCAGTGTGACTCAATTGCCATCATCATAAAGTACACCCTTACAAGCTTCCTCTCTCCTCCAGGGTTGTAGATAACTCCGGCGGTCCTGGACTGTGGAGACCTTTCATTTATTTTGCAGTACTGGGAACTGAACTCAAGGTCTTACACAGGCCAGGCAAGCACTTTCTCAAGGGAAACCTCTAGCTCTGGGGATTTACTTTAACCTAGATAAACAGAATAAAATCCTAACAAGTGAGTATTAGGTTCAATTCCCAATCCTAGGAAAACCAACAACTGGAAGAAGGCACGGGGTAGGGAAAACCCTGAAAGAGCCGAGGCCGCGGTTTTCTCTGAACTGAACTGTCACTTAAACCCCTTGGTTACCGTGCTGGTGTGATAACCGGTGTACCAAGAGCTGTGCGGAACACTAAGTGACATTACTACAATGGAGAAATAAGCCAGCCGTTAAACCTGTCTGTTGTCAATCAGGAGGACCTGAGTTCAGATCCCACCTGACAGCTCACAATCGCCTGTTTTAACTCCAGTTCCAGGGGTTCCAGCGCCCTCTTCTGGACTGTGCAGGCACCTGCAGGCATGTGGTTCACATACAGACAAGGGGACAAATAAAAATCTTGAAAGAGGGAAAAACTGGGGCACATCATGCCCGTCAAGCACAAAGATCACGAAGCTGACGCTTTCTCGGCAGTTTTCTACAAGAAAAGGTTAAGAGGATGGAAAAGGAAGCAGTTTCAAGAAGCTGTGGATGAGCAAGATGACCTAGGTGTTTCTGTTCTCCAAGAGGTCTTCTCCTGGAGAGCCCAGTTTTAGACGGAGAACACAGCAGAAGAGGCATCTGAATGAACGAGGCCTCCACCTCAGCGAATTCCAGGCCAGCCTTGGTATGTTCTTCACATACCTGAACCACTCCTGCCTCTGCCTGCATAGCAGGCAACTATATACAAACAAGCACAGAATAATGAGAAGGATGCTGTACTGAGAACTAGGGTCAGTCAATTCTGTTAAATCATTAGAGGACTAATTTAGAAAAAAATTTTATTGTCAGACAGTAGCGGTACACGCCTTTAATCCCAGCACTCTGGAGGCAGAGGCAGGGGAACTCATCTCTGTGAGTTCAAGGCCAGCCTGGTCGACAGAGCTAGTTGCAGGACAGCCAGCGCTACGCGGAGAAACCCGGCCTGAATCCCTCTCCTTCCCCTCAGAAAAGCACTATTATTGTGTGTGTTCTGTGGTGTGTGCCCGCGTGCTTGCATGCCTCGGTGCAGGTGTGGAGGTCAGAGTACAACTTCCGGGAATTGGTTCTCTCCCGCCACCAAGGGTGGATTCAGCTTGGAGGTAGTGACCATTTGCCAGTCTGTCTTTAACCCTCATGTGCCCCTTGAACTCAAGTTCTCGGTTGTAAAAGGCACAGAGATCAACTAACGAAATTAACTTTGGGGCAATGGGGAAATCAAATACTTCAGGTATTCTCAGTAGCTCCTCGGATGCCCATTTTTCTCTTTTCATCGTTCGGATAAAGGAAAACCAACTATTTATTTCACCCTCTGTACAGATGAACACAAAGAAAGAAAATCTTTTCGGATTTTAAAGGCAAGAAGAGAAGTGCCTGGTACCGAGTTAAGAGGTCGGGATTCTAGGTCAGGCTTATTCTGAATCGCCAAAATGACCTTGGGTTAGCCACTTCCCAGGGACCGTTTCTAGGTTTGCCAAATGAGGGTACTGCTCAAGGGATAACACCTGAAGGTCCTTAAGCACAAACGTGGGGCGAGCAAAGGTGACTTAACCATGCGCCCTCGGCCACCACGTGCACTTGGCACATTCTCAGGACCCGCAGATCCCTAGAGGGCACGCAGTTGGGCCGCCCTGGACATGCATGAGTCCCCCAGCCCGCCCTGCTCTCCCCAGGATGCTCAGCTCAAGGCCCCACGACCGCATGCAGGCAGGGCTGGACGTATGGTCTCACGGCCACAGTCCCGAAGGACACTCACTGACTCGCAGCAGGGCCACGTAGATGAGGAAGTTCCGAATGGAGGAGATCACATCCTCGCGCATCTTCCGCTTCATCTCCTCAGGGTCCAGCTTCGGCGCGAGACCCTCGATCCGGAACATTGCGGCTCTTTCTCCAAAGCTTGCAGCCACTGCACCTTGCTCTCCTCCAGCGACCGCCTTGCACGCACCCGAACTCAGCCAGACCCTACTTCCTGTCCCACCCCTCGTTTCCGTCCTGCGACGGGAACTTGAGAGGGACAATCCGCATCCAGCCGGCGTGCATCTGAAGGTAGGAGACCTGCAGGGGGCGGCCGCAGTCTTAAATCTCGGAGTCTTGGTGGACTGTTTCTTAATCTGTACCAACTATAAAGTAGTTTTATGATTTCTAGTAGGGAGGCATGTGCACATGTACCACCATAAATAATAATAACTAGCATTTATGGAGTACCCGAGACAGTACATCGTGAATTGCACATTATAATTTTCATAAAATACACCAGCCTGAAAAAACTTAGTTGAGAATGTAGTTCATTTGCCAAATTGTTTACTTCGCATGCATGAAGCCCTGGTTTCAAGCCCTAGCACCACATAAACCTTGTGTGGCAGCTGCTTGTTTTCTGTAGTCATAAGCACCATCAAAGCAACTTGGAGAGGAAAGGGTTTATTTTACCTAACCTGTTACAGTCTTTCATCCTGGGAAGCCACAGCAGGAGATTAAGCCCGCATCTAGAGGCAGGAACTGAAGCAGAGACCAAGGAGGGGATACTGCCCTGACCTGTAAGCTTGCCCTGGTCTCCCCAACTATCTTTCTTATACAACTCAAGACCAACCGAGGGTTGGCACCGCCCACAATGGGCTAAACTCTCCTCCGTTAATTAGTAGTCATGGCGATGCCCCTCACAAACCCACCAACAAGCTAATCTGGCGGAGGCCGTTCCTCAATTGAGGTTTTCTCTTCCCAGGTGACTCTAGCTTGTGCCAAAGTGACAAAGTGCACACCCGTGTTCCCGGCACAGGGTTGGAAAGAGGGTCATAGTTCAGGGTCAAGGTGGGACCGGTGTCTCACACCTTTAATCTCAGCCCTCAGGAGACAGAGGCAGAAGAATTACCGCAAATTCAAGACCAGCCTTGGTTACAAAGCAAATCTGGACTAGAGATGCTGTCTCAAAAAACAAACAAATCCAAGATAAACAAGCAATGACCTGCCCAAAACAAAACAAAAACAGTTTCAAGTGCATCGGCTAGTGAGTTTCACACCTAGTTAGACTTCTAGAACCCCAGAGACTGAGTTTTTGACATTTCCCGTATGGTTTCTGTTTCTTCAATTTTGGAGTTAGCCGATTCTTGCACATTCTGAGGCAGACCTTGGAACACAAGTGTGAGCCAAATCCAATCTGATTAACATTGTACAGCCGAAGAGGAAACCAACTGCACTGTTCGAGTTCTCAGACGTAAATCAGATAACTGGATTTTTTACATAATTCAATACCAGATTGTCTTTTCTTGGAGCACACACTGCATAACATCAGTGAGTTGGGGGTTAAATAAGAACAATCATTTAGTCGGAGAGCAAATGATAGTGTTAGCATAACATTCCACCTTCCTGATTGACAGAGTGTAAGACCCTGGGGTTAGGGAGGAAAAAACCCTCACCTGCGTATTCAAGCTTTAGTAAGCATTTGCATCTGTAACTCACTCCGCGGACTAGCCAAGGCAGCTCTGTTGTGGGAGGGGCTGACTCCCAAGGAAGGGCTCCAGTCCAGCCTTCAAGGGTTAGTGCAATACCTCCCACCGCCCACATAGTCAGGGGCAAGCCTCTGCTCCAGGGCTACTTCTGTTTTTCAGTAGCAAAGGGAAGGCCTACGGCTAGAAGCTCTAAGGCTCCCTCCAGTTCTGTCAATCTCTGCATTTTGAACCCTAATTTTATTACCGAGGGCAAAATAGTTTGGAGCGTGTGATTGTCAATATTTATCATCACTTGTGGCCAGATAGTGTGCTGGCTAGGTTTTTGTCAAGTTGGCACAAGTTTGGGTTGTCTGGGAAGAGGGAACTTAAAATGAGAAAATATCTCCATCATATTGGCCTGTAGGCAAGTCTGTGGGGCATTTACTTGATTAATGATTGATGTGGGAGGGCCCAGCCCACTATGAGCAGTACAATTGGTCCTAGGTTGTATAAGAAAGCCTGCTGAGCAAGTCAATGAGCAACATTCTTCCAAGCCCTCTGTTTCAGTCCCTGCTTCCAGGTTCCTGCCTTGAAATCCCGCCTTGGTTTCCCTTTGTGATGGATGACAGCCATAAAGTGGAATAAATTCTTTTTTTCCCCAAGTTGCTTTTGGTTATGGCATTTACCACATGAATAAAGCCAAACTAAAACAGATAACAAAATAGCCATATGTGTATTCTCCAAGGTAGAAAAGAATCTAATAATAGCAGATCTTACCACACATGGTGGCGCACACCTTTAATCTCAGCACGTGGGAGGCAGAGTCAGGCGGGTCTCTGAGTTCAGGTCAGCCTGGCCTACGAAGTGAGTTCTAGGACAGCCAGGGCTACACAGAGAAACCCTGTATCTAAAAAACAAAACAAAACAAATCAACAAGCAGATAGTATTCATCTGAAAAGTGGATAAAACAGATTGGGAAGGAAATACCTAATTACATAATTCTGGTAACTTAGACCCAAACACTGAGTTTAGATGTAGAAATACCTTTTTTCTTTTTTCTTTTTTTTTTTTTGCATATACTGAGATCGTTTTGAGTAGTTTGGTTTCACAGAACATCAAAGAAGGTATTAAATTAACCAAAAACTATGCTCATTGATAAAAAAGTAGATATTTAACACTCAATTGTTTTTATCTAATGCTCAATTAAAGAGGCACCTGTTTATGTCCATGTAGCAAATGGCTGGCCTGCTAAAGGCAATGTAATTCCTAGATTTATTTATTTTTATTTTATGAGTGTTTTGCCTGCAAGGATGTCTGTGCATCATGTGTGTGCCTGGTGCCCAAGGAGGTCAGAAGAAGGTGTTGAATGCTTTGGATCTGCACTTACAGATGGTTGTGGGCCTCCTTGTGGGTGCCGGGAATGGAACTTGAGTCCTCCGTGAAAGCAGCAAGTGCTCTTGGCTTCTGAGGCTCATCGTCAGCGCCAGGGCAATGCAATTCGTATGAAGATCCCTTAGGAAGGTCTGCTGGCTCCGCTTCGAATGAGGGAGAGGCAGTAACTGGCTTGGGCAACCCCATTTCCTAGTCTGGATCTAGGATTGCTTCTGCATCAAGGATGCTCATCCTGGGAAACTTGGCCTCCTTGCCTTTGCATGGCCCCTCTAACCACCTTGAAGAAGACCCATAAAAACAGGCTCCCTATTTTAGGCTTGTGGATACTGTTTATATATATATATATATATATATATATATATATAAAAATATCAGTATATTTAGCATCTAGGTGACGGTGTCATCCAATTACAGTGGATTTAGGTGAGGCACATTAAGAAATATGATGCCTCCAGAAGTCAGTATCGAATGGAGCCATTTTCCCAACTTCGACTCCTCATTACTTTTTCCTCCTCTGGGCACCGAATGCGTTCAGCCTCATCTTTGAAGTCACTGGTAACTCTAAAATGCTGAATTTCCAGGCTCACCATGTTTCCTGTTCTTTCCATATAATGAACTAAAGGCTAAGAGCAAGGATTTACTGGGATGTGCACTGAGAGGCAAAAATAAAGACGTATGCATACATAATTTAATATTGATATTTGTGTTCTTTAGTTTGATCACAGAGGAAATAGCAGCTGATGTCATAACCTGTCTTGTTTTCCATTTAGGTTCCAGGAGGGACTTAGGAGCTGTTACTTTGACTCAATTTCCCAGACAGCTTTCATGTAAGCATTTGAAGGGTACAGCCAAACTGTAAGGGAATTAAGTGTTTTAATTTCCATCACTGGGGAGGAATTTATATGTGCGTGGTCAGGGATTCACGGGTGATTCTTGATTGAGAAATTAACACAATATAAAATCTCAGTGAGCGTGTGCTTTGTGTGACCATAGAAAACTAGAGACTTTGGGTACTGAACAGTTCAACTTTTTTTTTTCTTTTAAACTTTACAGGGAAACTTGGGCCCAGAGAGGAACTAGTTAAGGGAAGAGTGATCTGGGTGGATCTCTGGCCTTTGGTTCTGCATTTCCTCCCATGGTATCCTGCTAGTGTGAATACTTTCATTGACAGTTGTCCTCCAAGAGATAAGGGCAGAAAGAATGGAGGCCCTTTCTGTCTCTGGAGTGGCAGGGCTTACCCAGCAGCGGCCCCCTTTTCACACTCCCACTCCCACGGTGGCTGCTGATCTGGACCGAGTTATTATTCCACTCCATTCCTGTCCTTCCTCACTCCTCAGGGGAGGGGCGCATCCTAGCATTCCCCGGACAGCTACTGGGTGTATTAGGGGCATTCTTTTATGCCTAGTCTAGGAGCTGGAAGGAGAAAGATACGGAGTTGAAGTCCACCTGCTACTTCCCAACAAGTTTAAGGTTATCCTGGGCTACCTGAGACCCCACATCAAAGAAAATCAAAACCACAATAAAAATAAACTTGACTTTGAAGTTTACCCAGGACTCAGAATGAATGAAGCAAGACTCGTGACAAAGAAGAGAGGCTTGGACTTTGAGAGACTGCAGTATGGGGCCGGCCAGATGACTCAGCAGGCAGAGATGCTTGCTGCCCAGACTGATGACCTGGGTACCCCAGGATGAAAAGACAACCCCTGCAAGTTGTCCTCTGACCTCTATACCTGTGCCTTCAACCATAAACAAATGAATGAACACACACTATAAAGGATGTTTAAAGAGATTTCGCTGCTCAGGTGTGACAATGCACACTTTTGATCCCAGCACTCAGGAGGCAGAGGAAGGCGGATGTGACAGCCCTGTCTATGGAGAGGGTTCCAGGCCAGCTGGGCTGTATAATGAGACCCTATGTCAAACAACAGCAACACGGAGATTGCTCTGTGGTAGATGCTTCCAATAGATAAGGTACCATACTTACAGAAATCACTGCCTAGTGAGAGATTTACATCTCCAGGAAGGGGCTCTTTTGAACCTTAAAGAATAAGAGAATTTTGATAAACTTCACTTCACTGGCGTCTACTCTCATTTTGGTAGTTAGGCCTTCACCATCTGAATGATTTATTAGTATATGGTCCCCTTCCAAGAAGCCTGAAAGCACCTCAAGTGTAAGGAGCGTTTGGTCCTTCTCAAGTCCCTCATGCACTGGGGGCTTGTGTTTATACGTGATGAAAACTCACTATTCATTGAGTGAATGAATGAATGAAAGGCCATGTATAGATTAGGCTGAAAGGAAATAGTTCCCAAAGAAATTTATTCCAAATTGTATTCATTATATTTCTAAATAAGAATATTTCTTACAGCTTTGGTAAATTTGGCTTTGTTTGACTGGGGAAAATAGGGGCCCCATGAGATGGCCCAGTGGGTAAGTGCTATAGCTGCCAAGTCTGAGTCCTAGGGACCAAACTTACGTTATCAGGCTTGATAGCAAGTGCCTTTACCCATGAAGCCATCTGCCAGTTCATTTTTTCATTGTTTGTTTGATACAGGGTCTCACTGTATAGTTAGAGTTGGCCTAGAACTTGCTCAGCAGACCAAACTGACCCTGAACCCACAAAGATCTGCTCAGCATATTTTTTAGTTAAAAAAGTCCTGTCAGTGCATATTTATCATACAAAGTAATGGGTTTCTTGGACATAATGACACTTTCATTCAAATATATTGTTTACTATTACAATAATTTGTCCCATTGCTCTCTCCTGTGTCCTCACTCAAACTAGCGCTCTTCCTTTGCCCAAATAAAATAGTTAATTTTCTACTTTCAAGTCATATCTATGTATCAATGTAAGTGTGTATATATGTAT